CAAAGGTTTGGCAATGGCAAACCAGCCACCTTGACTGATGTCTCTTCTCTATCCCTGGGCATCCTACTCCACAGCAGGTCTTGTCAATTCACCTCCACAATATGCCTCAAACAGGACCACTTCTGAACACCATTTTCTAGCCTCAGCACCATGAGCCTGCTTCCATCACTGCCTGCCAATGAGGCCTCTCAGGATTCACTTCTGTCCTGTGTCAGTCTGTTCTCTATGGTGCAGCAGAGGGAACTGTGGCATGTGTAAACTACATTATTTTGCCCCCTCACTAACTTTTTATTTTTAAAGATTTATTTATTTATGTTTTAATTAATTAACTAGTTAAGTAATCATGACAAGGTCTCATTATATAGCTCTGGCTAGCCTAGAACTCTCTATGTAGACCAGGCTAGCCTTGAAATCACAGAGATCCACCTGTCTCTGCCTCCCAAGGGTTGAGATTAAAGGCATGCGCCACAACACCTGGCAAGACTTATTTTTATTTTATGTGTATGAGTGTTTTGCTTGCACGTATCATGTTTGGGCCTGGTGCCTGTGGAGGCCAGAAGAGGGTATCAGGTCCCCTAGAACTAGAGTTAAAGATGATTGTGAGCTGGGAACAAAAACTGGGTCACCTGAAGGAACAAGTGTTCTTAGCTTCTGAGTCATCTCTCCAGTCCCTATTTATTTATTTACTTTTATTTTTTATTTAGAGAAGATAGCTCAGCCAGGCTGACCTCAAACTCATTTTCTCCCCCCTCCACCTCCCAAGTGCTAGGATTACAGGTGTGTTCCATCACCCAGGGCTTCCCTCCCAGATTTAAATCTCTTCAGTGGAAGAAGACAACTCTAGCTCCTTTCTGAAGCCAGGCTTGTCCCAGCTTCCTGCTCCTCTGTCCCATCCAGGATTACTCTGGGCCTCCTGCTGGTCCAGTAGACCCACCAGGGTTCAGCCTCAGGGTTAAGCTCCTGACCATTTGACTTCCCGGAACACCTATCCTAGCTCTAGGCCTGGGTCCATCATCTCATCCTGCAAGTGTCCACTGAGATGCTGCTTGTCTCTGAGATCACCATGACTCCACAGTATCCAGGTCCTCAGGCTTTGTGCACATCTTCACAGTACTCAATGTTTGGGAATGACGTCCTAGTCTGCTTTGTGCTTATCTGTGTGTCTATCTGCCCATCCCATCTCGGACTTCACCACAGTAGGACCTGAGTCCATGCAGATCAGTCCTCAACACTCAGTCCCTGACATAGAGCCAGGCACATAATTGGAGCTCAACAAATATTTGTTGAATGAATGAAAAAAATTCAATGCATGACTTGGCATGGTATAATACAGTTCATCGTGGCCAGCATCTCTCTCATCTCCCACAACCTCCATGTGTCAGCTGCACACACTGTCCAGCACTAGCCTTGATCAAAGCTTGGTTCTTGTCCATTTGTTTTGTCTTTTTTGTTTGTTTGTTTGTTTTGTTTTGTTTTTGGTCTTTTTGAAACAGGGTCTCCCTGTAGCCCCAACTGGACTGGAACTCACTTTGTTGACCAGACTGGCCTTGAACTCACAGAGATCCGCCTGCCTCTGCGTCCCAAGTGCTAGGACTACAGGCGTGCGCCACCACGCCTGGCATGTCTTTCTTTTTTTGAGACAGGGTTTCCCTGCAGCCCCAGCTGGCCTGGAACTCACTATATAGACCAGGTTGGCCTTGATCTCACAGAGATCAGCCTGACTATGCCTCCTGAGTCCTGGGATTAAATGTGTGCATCACCACGCCTGGCGGTTCTTGTCCATCTTTTGAGAAAGGGTCTTAGCTGCATCAAAGCTCAGTTCTTGCCTGTTTATTTTTTGAGAAAGACCTTGAACTCCTAATCTTCCTGCCTCTGCCTCCCAATGCTAGAAGTACTGGCGAGTGGCCACCACACCTAGTTTATGTAGTGCTAGGAGTCAAGCCCAGGGCTTCATGCATGCTAGGAAAGCACTCTGTCAACTCAAATAACTCAAATAAGCTCCATCCTTAGTCCGCAAGGCTTTTTTTTTTTTTTTTTTTTTTAATAAGCAGGGTCTCTCTGTAGCTCCAACTGACCTAGAACTTGATCCAACCATACTGGTCTCGATCTTTCTTAGGGAGATCACCTGCCTCTGCCTCCCTGTGGGAACCCATCCCCCGATTCTCTGCTGACCTTGGGGTGCACCACCACACCCAGTTGCAGGCATGTTTAAAACACAACTCCCAAGGCCCCCAAGTATACCACAACAGGCTGTGACACTAGGCCTGGCCTGGATCTCCGACTCAGTTCCTAGCATCATTGCTTAAAACTCTGGATTTGTACAGATGACCAGGAGGTGCAAAGAAGCCTAACTTTGGCTCAAGTGCTGTTTGGATGCCTTAAGTCCAGGGACCTGGTGGAGCAGGGGTCTCGCCCTCAGCCTCTGGAGAATGTTTTCCAGGCTCCAGCAGCGACAAGCTCCTTCTCTGTGGAAAGAGGAGAGGAGGTCAGGCATCTTCTGTACTGTAGGTCTTTAGACATGTTACCACTCTTGGCTGGCTTCCCCGCCACTGTAGAAAGTTCAGGAAGGCCTTCAAGTGGTGGTGGTAACAGGTAGGAAACCAAGGCCCAGAGAGGGACAACCTGCTTAAGGTCCTGTCTGGGGGAGACAGAGTCACCCTGGAATCTCAGGCCACCTGCCTCCTAAGAAGACTAGAGGGCTGCAGCAGGTAAAGGGAACCTTGCTGGTGTCCCTTGCCTGCTGTTCTGTCCCCGGCCCTTGGACAGGGTCCCACTCTGAGTAAGAATTAGAGAATGAGTCATCAGGGTGGAGGGGGTCTGGGGAAAAGGAAAGTGGGGTGTCCGGCACCCCTAGGCCCTGCCCTTTTCCTCTGCTTCTTGGCTAAGGAATCAGTGAGTCACGAGATTCCACTGAAGTGGCTTATTGCCAAACACTGTGATGAAGGGGGCATTCTGGCCCTGTTCTCCTCTCCAGCTCTGGGTTCCTGTCTCCTATACATGGACAGACACAGACAGGCAGACAGCCAAACCCCTAGGCACACCCAGCACCAGAGACATCCAGCAGGCAGGTGTTCACAGGCAAGACAGTCTTCCAGCCACACACAGACACAACCAGCCACATACACAGATAAGCATTCGATACACGGACAGACAGACCCTGTACAGACACAGAGACAACCACTATCCACATAGCTCCAGGGACACAGAAACACATGAGCATGGGGAGCAGAAAGGTAAGTGAATAGATCCAGACAGACAAATACTGGCAGATAGCCAAAATGTCCAGACGCACAGGCCTGTAGCAAGCAGACAGACAAACGGACCCAGACTGACAGCCACTCACACAAAATCACCCCGCCAACACAGCTCCATGGACACACACACACTATATATGTATGAGAATGTGACTATCAGAGAACATGACATTGATCAGTTCTGAGGAGCCCACCTTGCAGTAAGATGAATGGAGATTAGACAGAAAAAAAGGGACTTCCCAACCAGAAGGGTGTTGAGACCTGTTACAGGTGACTAAGGGGTGTCTAGGGGGGGGGAAGAGGTGGGTTGGCATGGATTGGCAGGCAGCGTGTTAGGGAGCCCATGTTCTGGCTGTGTGACCTTGGATAAATCTGTTTCTCTCTCTCTCTCTCTCTCTCTCTCTCTCTCTCTCTCTCTCTCTTCCTTTCTCTCTCTTTCTCTCTCTTTCTCTAAGGCAGGGTCATGTAGCACAGGCTGGCCTTGAACTGGGTATGTACCTGAGAATAAATGAGCCTGACCTGTCCAAATGCCTCTGCCTTCAGAGTGCTGACATTATAGGCATTTTTAAAGTATTTATTTATTTAATTTATTTAATGAGTGTGGGCTATGTATGTGGTTGTCAGGGGGCAACTTTGTGGACTCAGTTCTCTCCTTCCACCATGTGAGTTCCAGGAATTGAACTCAGGTCATCAGACTTGGTAGCAAGTGCCTTTGCCTGCTGAGCCATCTCGCCAGCCCCAGCCACACCTTTTATGCAGTGCTGGGGATTGAACCAAGGGATTCATGCATTCTAAGCAAGCACTCTACCAACTAAGCTACATCCCAACCCAAGTCTGTTCTCTTGAGCCTGTTTCTCTTCTAAGCTTTGTCTTCCAAGGTCCTTGCACGATGCAAATGTCAAGTCTTTGTGTGTGTGTGCCTCTGCACCTTAGCCACCAGGGAGGATCCCCCTTGGCGACTCACCCCCACCCCACACCCCACAGCAGGGGGTAGCTCAGCTACAAGTACCCCTTGTGCTGGTTTCTTCCCTGTCACAGGACTGGCAGCTGAGGGGAGGGTACAGAGAGGACAGAGAGTTCTGCATGACAACTAAGGGAATCCGGATGCCCCCACATCCTCCATTTCTTTCTCCCCCGGCCCTTGGCATTGAAGGAGCAGGCTGAGGACAGCCATCCAGGTGTGGTCTCCTTCCTCCTGCAGGCTAGGAGAGTTCTCTGGCTCTGAGCCCAACCTGTTGGAAAAGAGAGCTTGCACAATGTGGAGGAACAAGGTGACAGCAGGCAGGCCACCAGCGACAGAAGCCACATTGTGCGAAGGCAAGGCGGGGGTTAGGCCAGAGGCGGAAGGGGCTCTGCAGGGGGCCCCAGCTGCCAGCAATCTTGATGTTCGGCCCTCCCAGGGGCCTGGTGCCAAGAAGGATGCCCTTGGGCCTGGTGGATGGGGCAGTGCCAGGCAAGGAGCCCACCAGGTTGGGAGTGCAGACCCCACTAGGAGCTTTGGATGCACGTGGCCTGGGCACCACACCCACCTCTTGGGGTGGAGCTGCCCTAAGTGCCCTCAGCCTGCAGTTTCCTGAACCATCCCCTGGGAATTCCCGGCATTCCTGGGAGCTGCTGTAAGTTGGAGTGACCCCCAGCCTAGGGTCACTGTGAAGGGGACATTCGTGGCTATTTTTCCTACTGAGGGGTCTAGAGGAATTTTAAAACGTTTTATCCCCTAGCACTCTTCCAAAGCTTGATTGCCGCTTCCCTTCTCCAGGAAACCTCTTCAGGCTCATAGTAAAATCCAAACGAAAGTTCTTCCTAGTGTCTGACAATCCTTTCCGCCTGAGTTGCATTTCTGCCCCCCAAGGAGCGGCTTCCACTGACCAGAGACCCCTCAAAGAGGTCAATCACGTTCTCGTCGTCTTCAAACTGTCTCTTCCTGACCAGCTCCAAGGCCCAGTTCCAAGCTACGGGCTACCCCAGGTAAGTTCGAGTCCGCCCCGCCCTCCCGCAGCCCTTGGCCGGGGCGGTTGCAGACCGCTGGGGCGGTACAAAACGCGTCCCGCCCCACACTCCTCACTTGACTCGGTCTGGCAGTCGAGATCTTGGAGGCGGAGGCGCGCAGGGCAGCCTGGGTCCAGCCCACACCCCTCACCAGGTAGGGACGCTCCCCACTCAGAGGGCACGGGGTGTAGGGAGATGGAACAGAGAGGAGAGGTCATGGTGGAGCCAGACTGAGGGCGGATCGGCATAGACGGAGGGGTAGAGGGACGCAGAGTACTGAGGAGAAGAGGGCAGGACGGACCACGGAGGTGGCTGGGGGGCGTTAGGAAGGCACAGAGTCCAGGACCCAAGTGAGCTATGTCGGAGGGGTAGAGGGACCGAGAGCAGGAGGGTAGACTTGGAGGAAGGATGGGTGCTGGGGACGGAGTAAGAACGCCTGAGCTGGCTTGCATTTCCTTGTCCTTGAAGGTTCCAGGGCAGGTTAGGGAGGTGCCCCATTTCTTGCGGGTCCCCGTGTCCCTATGAGCAAACTGTGACGCCTGGTGCTGTCTTCTGCCTCGGGACTCAAGAATCAAGGTCTCTGACCCTGCTGATTCCCCGGGGCTCGCAGCTCTAGGGCACGTGTGGGACGACAATCCGTCCTTGGTATGTGAGGGAGTCTGTGGGACCCAGCGCCTCTGACTCCTGACTTCTGCCCTCCCCGGGCCCAGGAGGTACCATGTGGGGATGTCCGCTGGGGCTGCTGCTGCTGCTGCTGGCTGGCCAGGCTGCCCTGGGGGCCCGGCGGAGTCGCTGGCGCAGGGAGCTGGCGCCAGGGCTGCACCTGCGGGGCATCCGGGACGCGGGCGGCCGGTACTGCCAGGAGAAGGACTTGTGCTGCCGGGGCCGCTCTGACGACTGCGCCTTGCCCTACCTGGGCGCCACCTGTTACTGTGACCTCTTCTGCAACCGTACGGTCTCCGACTGCTGCCCCGACTTCTGGGACTTCTGCCTCGGTGTGCCACCTCCTTTCCCTCCCATCCAAGGTGGGCACCAAGACAGTCAGAAGGGCAGGCCACTTTGTCAACTCCAGACTTAGCCAGGCTGGGGAGACAGGTTGTTCTATGGACACTTCCAGGGGAGGCTTTGCAGAATCTGGGAGAGACCCTGGTCCTCTGGAAGTCTCCGTTGTGATCCTGCTTGACTGAAAGACAAGATCCTTACTTGGGATTCTAAGAGAGGGGGCACAGAGCAGGCAAGCTCCCACTGTTTCTCCCAGTCCTGTTCCATTCAGGACACCGAGGGTGCCACCTGCCTGCTGACTCACCCTTAGGCTGATAGCTCACACAGGGGCTGGTCAGATTGTCTTAACTATATCTTGCCTTTGCTTAGGATTCTATACCTCCAAGATAGACCGTACATTCCAGGTGGCCAGTCCGCCCCCTGCACACCGTCTTTCCCTGCTTCACCCTGCTCCAATGAGAGAATCCCTTTCCCCAGCTTGTCAGGCTTTGAGCTAGGAGAGGCAGTGTCTGAGTTGCTGTCTCGGAGTGCTGTGCTATCTTAAGGGTGTTACCATCTCTGGCCTTCAGTTTCCTTATGCCCCTTCCATGCTCCATGCTCAAATCCCAGCTCATTTGAGTGACAAAGGGCACCAGGAACAACGTGACTGGCATCCAGGAGAAGCAGCAAGGATCCAAGCTGAATTCCCTGAGAAGCTTCCTGGGTGGCAGTTGGTGTGGGGCCTTCCAGATGTCCTGAGCTATAGTTTTTAGATTCAGTGAGGGTTGGGATTGGGGTATAACTAGGACAATCTCAGGAGGCTTTGAGGTATGGGGCCATGTCTTTGGCAGGGCTCTACTCCTCTCCTCTCCCTTCCTCTAGGATGCATGCACGAGGGCCGCATCTACCCAGTCTTTGGAACCTACTGGGACAACTGCAATCGATGGTAAATGTGGGGGGCTGGGAGGGGCCTCACTTTGAGGGCCTGGTGACCGACAGGCTTGATATCGATCCCGTCCCTGATATCCATTTCCTGGGGACAAGTCCTTTCCCTTCTCTGGGCCCCAGTGTCCTTATCTGTAATATAGGGACTTTAAAAATGACCAGACTACCTCATATAGTAGGATTCCAGTCACATACCTAGGAGTGGTCAACCATGGTGGCCTGGCTGGGTGCCACACCTAAGCTGGGAAGCTGGGAGTTTTCTTCATCTCTCCTGGTTTAGGGCTGGCCCACCATCCCTCCTAGCTGATTTTACTGTCACAGGAGAGTCTGAGAAGGGGACGCCAGGAAGGAAACCTCTGACTACAGCATCCGCTGTCCTGGGCTGGATAAGGGTCAGGGATGGCTGAGCTGGCAGTCAGCCAGTGGCCTGCAGCAGGGCCTTCCCTGGAATGTGCATTCTCCCCACCCCTAGATCCCCTGTTCCTGACAGCTGAGGAAGGGGCCCTGAGGATGTCCTGTCTGAGCTGGGAAGTAAAGTGGGGCTAGGTGGGAAGTGCAAAGGCCTTCCTGGAAACAGTGGGGTCTCTGCTGCCCTGAGCCTACCCCTCCCCTCCCTCTGCCTGGGCTGGGAGGCCTCAGGGAAAAGGAAACTTTTTGGAATGCGTTGCACATAGCTGTTGCTGTTGCCTCACTGGGTGAGAAGTGCCTGGGTCACTGTGAGAGCGGGGCCTATGTGTGGGTGCTGGCATGTGTCTGGGTGAAGGGAGGGAGGGTGTGTGTGTGTGTGTGTGTGTGTGTGTGTGTGTGCTCAGAAGGGTGGGGCTTGCCTGCAAGATTCTGCTGTCCCTATAGGGTAGACTCCAAGGGGTTAACATTCTCTACTCTGTCCCAGGCCCCACTGGAATGCTGGGACCTGCTGCCACCAGTCCTGTCTAGACCTGCTTGGGCAGCCCTGGGGCTCAAGAAGTGGGGACAGAAAGCATTGACCCACCCAGCCTGGCCTTCAGGACAGTTCTTGGTGGCTCTGTGCTGTATATAGGGGTGTCTATGTACCTTCTAGGCTGGACATTGCCACCAGGGATGCTTCTGCAGGGCCCAAGGGCAGCTGAGGAAGGAAGAACCCCACAGGCCCCTCAAGCCCTGCTGAGCACCTCCCGCTGGCTCCAGGGCCAGAGAGCCAGCCATATTGGGGCTTGGCTCCCTTGAGGCGCCTTATAAGGTGGTATTGGAGGCGGGTGCCCTGGGTTGCCTGGAAGGAGGCTGTTTAGCATCTTGTAATAGCAGAGTTATGAGCTTGTGAAAGCATTATAGAATGCCTAGAATTCAAGTCTTCATTTGACATCTAATTACTGAAGACCTACTGTGTCACATCACTGTGCTGGGCCTAGGAGGTACAAGCAGAAGGAGACAGGCACAGGTCTTGTTCTGTGGAAGCTTCTAGTTTCATGGTGAGGGACATGGAAAAGCCACACACACACACACACACACACACACACACAGAGGCACACACGCACACACGCACACGCACACATCTTGACAAGCTGTTGCAGGTAGTATGTAGGGTAAGAAGACTACTGGAATCCTCACTTTGAGTGGGGAGGAGACCAGGGAAGGAGGGAAGGCCGCTTTGAGGCAGGGACATTTATGATGGAGTAGGTAGAAGTCAAACAAGTGACCCTGATGGGGACACCACTTAGGAGAAGGACAAACTTCTCTCGATAGGACCCATGAGCAGCAGAGATTGGAGAGAGCTCAGCCATGTCCCAGCACCAGTTTGTTCTGAGTGTTAAAGGGAAGTTATTTTGAGACCTGGAGTCTGACTCGAGTTGCTCATATATTTGTCTGGCCTCAGAGAAGCTGGGGAAGGGATTGCTGAGTGAGGATGGCTGGATCCTGAAAAGGCAGAGGACTTGATCAGGAAGCCATCCTCCTAGTCCAGGTGAGATGTGATGAGGGCCAAGAGTTGGGGCAGCAGTAGAGGGATAACAGGAAGGTGGACTCATGATGTGGCATCCCTGGCACCTGCTGATGGGGGAACATGTGCAGGTCAGCACACACCATGGCACTCAGAAGCTGGGTGCCATGTTCTGAGCAGAGGCTTCTGGGAGGAACAGGTCAGGGGAAGGCCAGTATCTATTTAATCTGAGGTGCTGAGCATAGTTGTGGTCAGCTGGATATGAGCCTGCAACTCAGAAGGGGACCTGGGGTTCCTAAAGCAAGGACAGTAACCATTGAGAGTGCCTGCGATGGGTCCTTAGAGACCTGCCATTGAATCCCTAGAGCATGGAAACTGCTTATTTTCTTCGATTTCTAGAGAAGGACACAGAAGGATGTTTAAATAACCTTTCTAAGGCCACACATCTGGCTAGTAGGATTTGAATCCAGGATTTGAACTCCAGTCTACATTCTCAGCTGCTTTGCTGTACTGCTTCAGCCACTCAACACACATTTACTGGGATTGGGCCTGGGAGCACAGTTCTATAATCCCAGCTGTGCTGGAGGCTGAGGCAGGAAAAGGGCAAGTTCAAGGATAACCTGAGCTACAGGCAGTAGCCTAGGCAACTAAGTGACACCCTGTCTCAAAATAAAGTCAAAAAGGGCTGAGGATGTAGTTCAGGAAACAGTATTTGTTTAGCATTCACGAGGTCCTGGGTTCAATCCCCAGCAAAATAGAAACAAATATTTACTGGGTACCTTCTATGCACTAAGTTTTGTTTTCCTACCTGCAAGGTTCTTAGAATTTATGAGGAAACAAGTGCAGTGGGCTGGTCTAGATCAGTTGGTAGACTGCTCTCCTAGCAGACACCAATCCCTGGGTTTTACCCCAGCGCCACATGAAACCTAGCATGGTGGGGCTGGAGAGATGGTTCAGTGGTTAAGTGCACTGGCTGCTCTTCCAGAGGACCCAGGTTCAGCTCCCAGCACCCACATGGCAGCTAACAACCATCTATAACTCTAGTTCCCTCTGACACCCTCTTCTAACTTCTTTGGGCATTGCACAACACAGGTACACTTACATGTGGGCAAAACACATGCACATAAAATAAAATTGTTTGAAAAGTTAAAGAACCCTAATATTGTGGTGCATGCCTGTACTCCCAATACTCAGGAGGTGGAGACAGGAGGATCAGAACTTCAAGGCCATTCTAGAGGGTTAGATTGTGAGTTCAAGGTCAGCTTAAGCTACAAGAGACCCTGTCTGAAAAGAAATGGAAAGAAAAAAAACAAGCACAAGCAACATAGCCGTAGGATGCCAAGTACTGATGGCATGCTAAGAAAAGCAATAAAGCAGGTAAGAGGGGCAAGAAATGTGGTGGATGCTGAGTTTTAAGACAGGGTGCAGGGTGACCAGACTTCTCTGGGAAGGTGGCATTCCGATGAAGACTTGGAGGAAATGAGAGGGAGCCATGGGAGGTGTGGGAGGAAGAACAGCTCCTCAGCCCTGGGGCAGGAGTATGGCTGGTGTGAACAACCACTATAGCTAGAACCTTGGAGTAAAGGGTCAGGGAGGGAACAAAGCAGATCACACAGGGCTTGTCACCCTTCAGGACTTTGGCTCTTACTCCGTACAATGAAGCCAATGGAAGGTTAGGGCAGAGGCATGCCATGATATGACTTAGATTTAACAGGGCTGCCGTGGCAGCTGTGTTAAAAATATACTGTGGGGACGTGGGATGGTGCAGGACAGGGATAAGAACAAGAAGTCTGCAGCAGTGATCCAGGGGAAAGGTAACTAGATCCTGGCGGCTATAGAAAGAATGAGACAGGGTCTGGATTCTGGGTGTGTTTTAAGGTGTGATTGGATCGGCGCATAAGAAGTCCAGGGTTTGGGAGCTGAGCTGCAGTTAATGAGAACTGAGACATAAGGAAAAACAGGAACTTGGTTGGCCCTGGTTAAGCCTAGCTTCTTGTTAGATCCCCACACCAGTGATGTTGAATAGTGGCTAGATGCTGGGAAACGGAGATGAACTCGGGAATTGTGAACTTGAAGTTGTAAAGCCATCAGGCTTAGTGGGATCATCTATGAGGTCTACTGTAGCTGCTGATACAGAATTCCAGTCCCATGTGGACCTCTGAGATCCTTCAGAGGGTCCCTGAACCCCTACAAATGCTTTGTTTCTTTTCTCGCCAGCACCTGCCAGGAGAAAGGGCTGTGGGAGTGTGACCATCAGCCATGCCTGGTGGACCCAGACATGATCAATACCATCAACCAGGGCAACTATGGGTGAGAGGCTCTGGGCGTGGTCTTGGTGGGCACAGGAGCACACATGCATGTGCACATACACACTCCACCAGAGATGCTTAATATGCGAGGCACACACACATTTGAATTGTATTCCTGTAGCCCTGTAGCCACTACGTGTAGCACCAAGGCTTGTAGCCTTGATGGATCTATCCATGACTCTCCTTCACCCTCTCTCTTTCAGGTGGCAGGCTGGGAACCACAGTGCCTTCTGGGGCATGACCCTGGATGAAGGCATTCGCTACCGCCTGGGTACCATCCGTCCATCTTCCTCTGTCATGAACATGAATGAGATTTATGTAAGTGCATCCTTGCCCACAACTCCACCATCTCCTCAGTGGATGCTGGTACATCTGTCTTGATCTGCCAAGGGCCTCGATCTATCCCTTAGGACAAGGCTGTGTGTCTCTGGGCATGTCACTACCCTCTCTGGCAGTGCTGAGCTTAGTTTCTAAACCTTGTGGTGTTTGCAGCAACCCGTCCTGCCTCCTCAGCCTGGGAAAAATGCTGTTGGTTCCAGTACAGATGGGTCAAGACCCAAGGGGCCAAGAGGTCACCTTGGTATTTTAGGAAAAGAAGGGCAGACACTCTTTCAGCTCTGGCCAGAGAACGACAATTCTCGGAAAAAATGCCGACTCAGTGGAGCCCCGAGGGAGGAGGGGGCTTCTGTTTTCCCACCAGACTTGGCCAGTCAAAGGGGAAGGAGGAGGACTCTGTGCAGCAGGCCTGGGTGGGGCTGGTGCTAGAAGAACTGTCCATCAAGGCAGACGGGGAGAGGCCAGGGGACTTCAGCTCAAGGCCAGGGTGACCAGCCCCTGGCCCTGCCTTTCTCTCTGGGGCCACTTGCTATTTTCTGCTGTTTGTCTTGGCGGCCTGCCTGGTCATGGGACCTCAGTGCTTCTTCCCTCCCCTGTCCTTTGGGGCTTGGAGGCCACTACCCTGGCAGGAAGGAGGGTGTGGCAGATGAGAAGGTACAGAGAAAAGTTGCAGGGGTGAGAAGCTGGGTGACCCTGGCCTGGTGTCTCTCCTGCTGCTGGCCTCGGGTGCCTCAGCTATAAAATAGGCCTCATCACCCCTATGTGATTCATGCAAGGCCCTAAACAGTGCTTTTCCACTCAAGTCCACATTGGAGGTAACTAGAACCTCTCAGCAGCAGGACAGTTCCATATTCAACTGCAGAAGGCCCCGGTCTCTCAATGGCCTTCCAAGGCCTGGGCTCTGAGGGGCAGCTAGGCCATGCCAAGAAACAAGCAGGGCCACCGTTGTCTTGCAGATGGTGATGGGCCCAGGAGAAGTGCTACCCACTGCCTTTGAGGCTTCTGAGAAGTGGCCCAACCTGATCCATGAGCCATTGGACCAGGGCAACTGTGCAGGCTCCTGGGCTTTCTCCACAGCAGGTATGTCCAGGGGCAGGAGCTAGCACTAGAGACGACGGCCAAGGCCTGGTTCTTGACAACCTCTTCTGCCTTCCCCATCAGCTGTTGCATCTGACCGGGTCTCCATCCATTCTCTGGGACACATGACACCTATCCTATCACCCCAGAATCTGCTCTCCTGCGACACCCACCACCAAAAAGGCTGCCGAGGTGGGCGTCTTGATGGTGCTTGGTGGTTCCTGAGGCGTCGAGGGTATGTGACAAGGATTGTGGGTGGGAAAGTGGTGGGACATCCTGCAGCAGGGCCTGGGCTTTGCAGCACTACAGCATCATGGCCCTTGTTCCCCTCTGCTGCCTCCACAGGGTGGTATCTGACAACTGCTATCCCTTCTCTGGCCGCGATCAGAATGAAGCTAACCCTGCACCTCGCTGTATGATGCACAGCCGTGCCACAGGGCGGGGCAAGCGCCAAGCCACTGCTCGATGCCCCAATAGCCAGGTTGATTCCAATGACATCTACCAGGTCACTCCTGCCTACCGCCTGGGCTCCGATGTAAGTGTGAATGTGGGTGACAAGGGAGCAGAAGCAGAGATGGGAGTTTACCAAAGGCTAAACCTCACTTTGATGGACATCCCTTCCCCAGGAAAAAGAGATCATGAAGGAGCTGATGGAGAATGGCCCCGTTCAAGGTAAACACCCCTAGCCTGTCCCTAATTCCAGAAACTTCTTGCTAGAGGCTGGACACAGGGACCTAAATGGTCTGTGTAGCCTTAGGGAATGAGTCCAGTGGGAACAGACGTTGAATGCCCCCCCCCCCCCCCCCGCCGCATGAAGTCCCCGGAGGAGTCACTTAGTTTCTAGCGTAAGGCCCTAGCATCTGGACTCTCAGCATCTGAGCCTGTACTAATGGGCCAAGTGGGCCCTGTCTTGGTCTTTGCCTGCAGCACTCATGGAGGTACACGAGGACTTCTTCTTATACCAGAGTGGCATCTACAGCCACACACCTGTGAGCCTGGGGAGGCCGGAGCAGTACCGCAGGCATGGGACCCACTCAGTCAAGATCACAGGGTGAGGTTCCTATGGGCACAAGGGGTTAGGGGAGCAGGGTTGAACACTGGGAGTTCTTGAATCCTTGTGGTCTCTGCCAAGTTGAGGCTATTCCTCCCATTTCCAAAGAGGAAATAGACTCAAAGAGGAAGGGCTGGTCTGGGGATACACAGACAGCAGGGAGATTTGAAGGGTGTCTGCAAACACTTCCTTACATGTGAGGATAAAAATCATTCCTTGAAATATAGATGAGGATGCTAGAGTTAAGCCAGGTGTGGCGACACATGCCTGCAATCCCAGCACTTGGGAGATGGAAGCAGAAGGATCAGGATTTAAAGGTCATCCTTAACTACAAAACAAGTATATGAGATCCTGTATTTAAAAAGAGACTCATCTCAGCTCTGGCCAACTCATTGAGTGATCTGGGTTGATCATTCCACAGCCCTCAACTGTCCCCTCTGATGTAACACATATTAGGGTCATGGCTCTCCATTGTCAACACAATTAGGGTATGGATCTCAGATCAAGAAAATACCTATCCAGTGACAGGTGCTTTGCAGCAGGAGTTTGGGGCTTCCAAGATATCTACATTGACTAAGTCTTTTGCTTCTGGTCCCTGGCACACACATGTCCCTAGCTCCCTAGATGATGGAGAGTAAGCAGATGTGTGAACTCTCACAGAATGGCCCCAGCATATGTGTCCTTTGGGGACCAGTCCCAAGTTCCCTCCACTTACACTCAAAGTGCCTTCCCCTTGTGGGGGCCTAGAGACGCAGCTGAAAAATGGGGAGACTGAGGCTGTGCAGAGGGGGCAGACACTCACCAGGTCTCAGGGTGCACAGAGATTTCAGGAGTGACAGGGGCAGGCTGCGGGGGGGGGGGTGTCGCCTGGGTTCTGGCACCCGAGAGCAGATGTAATCAGTGTTCCTCTACCTCCTTTGCTTTGCCACCAGGTGGGGAGAGGAGAAGCTGCCTGATGGAAGGACGCTCAAATACTGGGTGAGTCCCTGGTGCAAGGCTGTGTCCCATGTCCCTACCCTCTCCATTCCTTGCCCATCCCCCGCCTCACTTGTCCTCTTCATCCCCCAGACTGCAGCCAACTCGTGGGGCCCATGGTGGGGTGAGAGAGGCCACTTCCGCATCGTGCGTGGGGCCAACGAATGCGACATCGAGAGCTTCGTGCTGGGCGTCTGGGGCCGCGTGGGCATGGAGGACATGGGTCACCACTGAGGTCACGGGCACTAGTCCTGACTGGTCTAGGGAGCCTGCAAAACAGCCACTGAAGAGCCTTTACGTGGCACCCAATAGAAGCCTGAGCATGGTTGGGCACCAGGTGCTAATCCCTGGCACTGATCAATTGACTGCCGCACCCCATCTGGGAGCCACGGGTGTGTGAGACTGGTGGGAGTCCCCAGATATCCCAGCCAACCGGCCTGGCCTGGAAACAGCAGAGCCTATAGACCCAGGCCTCTGACTCCCCAAGCCTAAGACCAGAGGAGCCAAGACAGCCCCAGTCTTCACTCTACTGCCCCACCCCATCCTATTTTCTAATTCTTTCTCTTTTTGGTTAATTCTGCCTGTCTCCCTGGCTCCTGTCTCCACTCTGCCCTTCCACTCCCAATACGGTGTTCTTATTCTTCAAAGATATTTATTTTTCTTTTCACTATTTTAAAATAAAGCCAAAGTATTGATAACTAAAGTGTCATAGACTTTCCACAGGGTTCTAGAAAGCTGGTCAGAGTTGAGGTGGCCCATGGTTGAACACCAGAAAGGACTGCCCACAAGCTGGGAAATGGGGCAAGTTTGTGAGCCCAGCACATGTGAGGTGGAAACAGGAGGATCTAAGTTCAAGTTATCCTTGGGTTATGTCCTAGTTTGTTTCTCCATTGCTGTGACAAAACACTCTGACCACTACCAACTTGGGGAGGAAAGGGTTTATTCACATCACAAGGCTTACATCTCCCAGGTTACAGTTCATTAGGGAGCCCAAGGTAGGAACTCAGGGCAGGAACCTGGAGGAAGGAGCTGGAGCACAGACCACGGAGGAACGCTGCTTACTGGCTTGCTCCCCTGGCCCCTTGCTCAGCCTGCTTTCTTATGCAACACAGGCCCATCTGCCCAGGGGTGGTACTACCCACAGTTGGCTGGCCTCCCACATCATTCAACAATCAAGAAAATGCCCCATAGACATGGCCACAGGCCAGTCCAATGGAGGCAATTCCTCAACTGAGGCTCCCTCAACCCTGGTGTGTCAAGTTGACACTAAAGCTATCCAGCACAGGTTACATAGCCAATTTGAGGACAGCCCGGACCACCTGAGACCTTGTCAGAACGGGGAGGGGAGGATAAGAAAGAGACCATGGAGTAGGGAGGGAGGACCACACACTGCTGGTTGGCAGGCAGGCTAGCTTCCTTTCAGTTCTGTCAGTGTTCAGCCACCTGGAGGAGGGGCATGGGTGGGTGGCATGGCTTTTGACCTGCAGAGAATGTGGGCCCTGAGAACTACCTTTCAGATGCTGAATCAGCATTGCATAGACTAGGAGTGGGCTGCCCCAGTCCACCAATCAACAGATGTAGCCCAGCAGGCAAGAGGGACCCACCTCCCAGTGCTGGTAGACCTGTCTCTTAGACAAAGTTTTCCAGCCAGGGAAGCAGGACCCTCACCTTTCCCTAGTGTGAGCCAAGCTAGGCCTTGACTGGTAGCTCTCTCCCTATAGCATATGCCCAAGCTCCAGGCCCAGCAAAATAGGCCAGGCGTCAGGCAGGGACCTGCCCAACCAGCCTCCTCACCAGTCGCTTTGCCCTGTGCCAGGGTATCTCAGCACTTAGGCAGTGGAAGGTAGGAGGATCATGAATTCAAGGTCATGTGTGGGCTACATAGCAAGTTCTAGACCAGTCTGGGCTATATGAGACTCTGTCAGAAAGAAAGGGACAGCTCCAGGTCTTCCCTGTTCTTTAGATGACCAGCACACACAGACTATCAGTCACTGGCACATGCTGGTCCTCCATCTACACCCTCTAATGCTACTCACTTGTCTCACTACTATTTCAAAGCCAGGGCATGGGTTTTATTCACACAGTATCTGTTGAGGGTGACTGATATGTCAGATGCCAGGCAAGGGACTCAAGTCACCCCCACCCCAGCCAGCATGGGTTAGACAACCCCCTCACACAGCTGCCCTTTTACTCACTATTTGCCTTACTCAGGAGTCTGTGGATTTCCTCGACTGTGCTAGAAACTCCTAGCAGGGGAGGGGGTCTGGATCTTTAGTTGGACCCTGGTGCCCACAATGATAGGGTGTCATGTAGCCCAATCTTCCAGCTGTGGGTCCATCTGGACACAGATGCCAGGGATTTACAGGGAGCTGTGTGGGGTTGGGGGACAGGGAATGGGGCAGTCCTCTGGGCAGGACTCCACCTCGCCCCACCTCAGCAGGCCCGAGAGGTGAGGACGGGAGCCTCTTGGTCACTAGCAGTGCATAGCGACCTCAGCTCCAGCAGCCGTGTCCCCCAGGCCTGTGGGCATCAACCTGAAAGAAATGTGCGTGGTCGATAAGCGGCCGCCTTTGTCTTGCTTCCTGTTTGCCAGGACGTCCCGAGCCCGGCGTCTCTGGCCTGGTCTCGGTCCCGGAGGACTCAGGGCCACCGGGTGGCCTTGGGATGACGCCGGCGTGGGGTCCGGAGGAAGGGCGCACGGGCCCAGGCCACTCTGCTGCTGCGGCCCCAGGACGCACCCTGCCGGAAAAATCCCGACCTGGGTGAGGCTGGAAATTTCTACAAGGACCTGTGGCGGAAGCTGCCGGGGGAGGGGGAAAGGAGGGAAAGCCGGCGCAGCTTGGTCTGCTGGCTGAGGCTCTGATTTGTGACGGCGGATCCACAAGGACTCAGCCTGATATTCTTCTAGACTGGGAGAGGCTGGGGATGGAGGCGGGAAGCCTCACCAGGTGCCTGGTGTCTGTCCTCCCCACCTGCCCCCCTCCTACCCCCATCCCCCATTCTCCGCTGCTGCTGGGTGTACTTCTACAGTGAAGCAGAGCGGATCACTGCCTATTTAGAAAGCCTGACCACTAACCCAGGAATCCTCTGAGCCCAGGGCACTGGTCTTTAGATAAATATGGATTGTTTGATCCCCGTGGCTCTGTATGATATTGATCAGGTTTATTGGTCTTTTTTTTTTTTTTAGCCAAGGACTCATGTAGCCTCATGTAGCCCAGGCTGGCTTGGAATTCTATGTAGCCCAGAAAGAGCTTGAACTTCTGATCCTCCTGCCTCTGGTGCTGGGGATTAAATCCAGGGCTTGGTGCATGCTAGGCAAATACTCTACCAACTGATCTATAAAGCCCAATAAATAGTGTCGTGATCATTTGAAAGGATTGGACTTGACCATGTAAAAGTATTTCCTAACGACCTATACATTCACCAAATGCTTTGACTACGTGCCCACAAACACAGTGTTCCTGAATACTTTACATCGATTATCTCATCTAAGTCCTTAAAAAACAGTTTCTTTAGCATACAGAGTTCTAAGTTAATGAAGGTCATAAGGATAGGAGTGATTGAGACAGAATTCGAACTGAGCGCACCTAGCTCCTCAGTCCATCTGCTCTGGGCTGATGGTAATGGTTAAGAAAAGTAGTGAAGGGCTGGAGAGAGATGGCTCAGTGGTTTAAGAGCATGTATTGCTGCTCTTCCAGAGGATGAGTTCAATTCCCAGTGACCTTATCAGGCAGCTCATTGTGAGCTGTAACTCCAGCTCCTCGGGGAGCATCTGTGGGCAATACACAGGCACACAAATGCATTTAATTAAAAAATTTATTAAAAAGTAGTGAATGGTGATACACGCCTTTAATCCCAGAACTGGGAGACAAAGGCGGGCAGGTCTCTGTGAGTTTGGGGCCACACCACATACATACATACATACACACACACACACACACACACACACACACACACACACACACATGAGTAATGATAGTCTCTGATAATCCTGTCCTCTATTCCATCCCCTTCCCTGCCTGGAAAATCCTTGCTCATCTTTTAAAACCCACTCCCCAACTCAAATGCCCTTCTTCTAAAGAAAGCCTTTCCTGTTGCTCACCTGGATGTATACCCTTCATCTGGCATTCTTCCCTGTCACATAGGATATACCTGTTGACAACTTCTCCCACAAAATAATGGGACAGACTTTTAATTTTTCTCAGCTCCATCCTTTCCAGCTACCCAGTGTGGCACTTGGATTTCATTCTGGTCTCCTGTGGGGCTCTGTGGGGTTCTGTAGCACCTGACTCTAATCCCCTCAGCACTGCAAAGTTCTGTCACTTCATGAGAACTGAAGCTTCATATCTTCCTGATATCTTGCCAAACCCCATCCCTGCCTGGTGTCCATTTAGGGAAAGGAATTTTTGCTGTCTGAGTTGCAGTGGGCCAGGCCTGGAGCTCAGCACCATCCTGTTAGCTCCTTGGGTCCTTTCCCTGCTGGTGAGGAAGCATAGCTTTAGAAACTTAAGGTCAACCAGCCAGGGACTACTGGAACAGCACAACTAGAGGCAGGTCCCCAGAACTGTTAGGTGATGCTCTGTGCCTCTCTCTCTCTCAACTTTTAAAATTACATTTATTTATTTTGTGTGTGGGGGGTACTCAAATGCTATTTTACATGGATCAAAGTCACAGGACAACCTGTGGGAGTTGGCTTTCTCCTTCTACTATATGGGTCCTGGGGATCACACTCAAATTGCTAGGTTTGGAAACAAGTACCTTTACTCACTGAACCTCGCTCCCCACTCCTTTTCTCTGCCTTTCTCTCTAGATTATTCTGTACCATGGAAGGGCATGCGGCCAGAAACAGCTCCTGAGCCCCCAGACATTTTCTAGGAAATCTGATTAGCTTGGTTCTAGACTTGTGTCCACCTATAGACTGATCAGTTACAGACAAGGGTCATGATCACAGGCTCCATGACACCCCTAGGGAATCGGGGTTGGGGGAGAAGAGCTTCAAGAACAGAGAAGGCTACCGTTCTCCAGGAATACTGGACAGAGGGCAGAGTGTGATTACAACAGCCAGGAATGAGTGTTGTGTTACCTGTAGTTGACAGAGGCTCAGGAGGGTGTGAGGTGGAGCCAGAGGCAGACTATGCTGCCTTCTGCTGAACTTGGAGTTCAGTCTAGAGAGATGGGTGAATAAGGGACTCTTTCCTTAGCTTTTCCCAGATAGCTCTCCCCTGGGCCTTGATTGACATGTTTTTTAGAAGTCCACTCACTTGGTGAAACCACTGTGGCTGTGACACCCACAGTTAGGACAGTCCCCTCCCAAGGCTGAGGCCCAGCAGCCTTCCAGGAGCAACCTGCTTCCTGCTCTGGGGTGTCCCACACAGCACCTACTATGGGATGGGAGGAGGTGGTTATTATATTGTGCCAAGTATGTCCACCAGAGAGATAGGTGTGCATAGGTAGACTATTCCTCCTTTCTGTCCATGGAGGAAACTGGGGCAGGGATGAATAGAGAAGGGGAAGCAACTTGCCAGGGTCACATCTATGATCTCTGTCCTCAAGGCAAGTCGCTGAAACTAGAATCTCTTCTCTGAGGCAGTCATGGGAACTCTGTTCTCTTCCGACCTTTTGGTCTTGAGGCCAGCCATAAAGAAATTCTCTTAAGAAACTTTGATCTTTCCCCACCTTTTGGTCTTGGGGC